AAAAAATAAAATTCGATTCAGAGCGCTTTATTATTTTATGTACTTGGCTTTTAGAGTGTGACTTTTTTTTATTCAAATTCCGAAATCACGTAGGTATCGATCGTGAATTCAAAAACTCAATTTTGAAAATAAATTTAATTTATAACACTTTGTATATAATTTAATCAAATATAATATTTTGTGAACTTTTCAAAAWCCTTTGATGTTTTCAACGTTTGATTTTATTTATCGAGAGCGTATTAATATTTTTCAATCGTCATCTATTATCTATACCACTTTTTATTTATACCTAGTTAAAGTTTTGACATTTTTTATGGTTTCATAAGTTTCATTATATATGTTAGATGACGTGGTGATAAAACAGTTAGTCGGAGAATAGAATTAATGAAATTAGAACTMRCCAATTACCTAAAAACATCAAAGATGTAAAATCAAAAAATTAGCGAAAACTTAATTTAATTCACCGTTAAAATTATTATTTGAAGAATTAATTTTGTACCTTAAAAGTTCGTCTACGACCACCCATTTTATGACCACTTAAGGTACATTGTATWTAATATTATCCTGTATCCAGCACGATTATGTTGCACTTGAACGTTTCGAAGGCTGACCTGCATAAGTTATAATGTCCATACTATTATTTATTAYAGACTTACTACTGCAGCTAGTGAATATACAATCATCACACCGTAGGTATATAAATTATCATATCACAAAATAGTACCTCGCTGATTGATATATTGAATTAAATAATATACTCAACTCACTATATATTATAATACGCCATGCTGCAATCACTTAGATTTCCTGTGAACTCTGCTTGATATATATATATCGTTTGCAAGAAAGAGTATTGTCCAGCTCAATTGGGTTAGCGTTGCGGTCAAACGCTGCAAGTCATCTAATACGACTATAGTACAGATGACCTGCATTTAGACCTTGCGGAGACTATATGTATATAGGAGACGACCAGGTTTCAAAGGCCGGTTACGGCGCACACAACAAAATATGTAGGTAGTCGGTATAAACTTTGTATAGCGTTTCTCGTTAATATAATCAGATCGAATTATGTGTCGATAATGTCACT